TTCCTCAGTTTCCACAGGAAGTCTGCGAAGACTCAAAAATTGTTCCTAAACAAGTAGTTACCTGTAGTGGACGTCGTGTTCATTTTCCTAAAAAACTAATTACTGTAATATGATTATAGTTTTCTCTCGCGGTTTGCTGCAAATGTTACAATGTATAGATACTTGGAATAATTATTTTTGCATATGTATTGAGTTATATAAAATGCTTATTAACTTTTCATTATTTCTGTTTAATTAAGTCATGCATTGTATGGGTATATATTCCAATCAGAATAGTAAATGTATTATTACTATTCATATATTTGTATTTCTTTTTGTACGTACAATTTTAAAGTATAACTGTTATTTGAATGTGCATATCTTAAATTGAAAATTTACAGCCAACCCCTTTTGTGTCATGACTGTGTCACTGGGGTGGATACTCTGTGGCAATCTAATGTTTGACTGCGTGCGCAGCCAATCCACGTCATGTGGTTTATGTAAAAACTGCTAGCGCGGCAGTGAACTCGCTCACTTCGCCCTTAGCTGCAGCATAGGATGTTTGAATTTTAGTTTAGTAGATTTTGTTATTTCATTGTTATTCCAGTTATGTTTAAAGTTATGGTGTGTGTGAATAAAGGTTATGTTTAAAGAAATGGAGTCATGTCAATTCAAGGATATACACCAAGCACATAACCACCACGCCACCATAAGCAGAAGTCTGTAATCATTGCCAAGTGTAATAATAACATAAAAATATTACTATCGCTTTCAGATTCAAATACTCATAACAAAAAAATTTTTTTTAAAAATAAAATCTGAAAGCCCAAATGGGGGTTCCCCCATTTATAGACACATACACGTTTTGAGAGCATTTGGGCTAATGCCACATTGTGCTAAAAATATTTAAAAACAGCATATCTTTCAAATTTCTGACAGACAATCTCGCTCACCGGAAATAAAAATGTTTTACTCCTTAGTGTTGCCATTGCTTGCTTTGAAATTGCTGAGTTTTTTTAATAAAAAATTCATTAAAGTTTTATAAAATATAAAACAGACAAAAAAAGAAAAATCTGAAGGATTTCAGATTTTAAATTACATCCAAAGGGGCTTTTTTTAACGTTTTGTGTGTTACTTTTATTTATTAAATAACCTGTTCTTCGCATGCTTGCTTTTAAATTGTTGAGTTTGATAATCAAAAATTCGTTAAAGCTTTACAAAAGTTGAAACAAATAATAAAATAAACTCCAAATTTGGGATTCCAGATGCCTATATTTGGGTGGAAACGTACGTTATTCAAAATTGGATGGCTCTAGGTACCGCTGTTTTATCACAATGTGAGAAACATACACAAATTTATGCAGATTTTCATTATTTCATTTCTTTAAATATAATAAAGGGCGATAATATTTGGTGGCAACAATTTCAAAAGTGAATCGGACATTTATAGCAAACCAATGCAAAATGCCAAAACGAAAATAATAAGTCCTTCAGGGCAAATTGCAACTTTGGACTAGTAAAACAAATTCCAAATTTGGTGTCCATGTTCCGGTGGAGAACTATGTTATTCAAAAATTTGATGACTGTAGGTACCATTGTTTTTCACAGTGCGAGAAACATACATACGTTCATGTAGATTCTTCATTATTTAGTTTCTTTAAATATAATACAAGGTGATAGTATTTGGTGGCAACAATTTGAAAAGTGATTCAGACATTTAAAATGATTTAACAAAAAATGCCATTTTGAGGCCAATGCCCATTTGGACTAAAGATTTTTTAGACACTATTGCGTGTGTCCTTTCTCAAGCTCCAGTTTGTTGATAGTCATGCGGTGATAAAAGCAGAAAATAACAAATAACGGTTCAGCGGTTGGTGTCAGTGCCAAAGTGAAGTTAAGAATCAATATTCTACATGTTTCATTATAAAAAATGTGCATTAAAAAAAAGTTCCTGTTGATTCGAAGTTCTGGATTTTATATCATTCCAGATAGTTGAGATAAACAGATTTCAGACTTTGTACTGCATACATAAAATTTTATTTTATATCATTGATTATTCGCATAATAATTCTAGGTTAATTATGTATATATTAGATTTTTATGTTATTTATAAAATCAGTTTTTCCTCTCACATATATCTAAAAGACACTTTATTATACATCTAATTCTCAGCAACATATGATGTATTTAATGCTATATAGGAAGAAATCGATTTATTTTTTTCTTTTTTGTAATTGAATAATAATTATAGAAATGCATACAGGCTAATGGGAAAAACTTATAAAACTTTTCTGGTTTTAGCTGTAATTCTACACAAAATAAACTGGGAGACATGGAATTCATATTACAGAGCCACAATGTAGTAGTTAAAGGATGAGGAAAGTATAATAGCAAAAAAAAAAAAAAAAAAGAATAAGAAATATATAGTATGGAATGAATAGAAAAAAGGCTTTATTGACAGAACGGCATTGGTCAGAAAACAGTCTGGCCAAAAGGGAGAACAATAAACCAAAGAGGCTTAGTAAGTGATACGACTGACTCCCTTAATTGCATGGCTGGGTTGCACTGTCTGCCAATACTCAATGCCAGATTATCTAAGAGTTCCCATTCTTCAAGGAACATCTGTATGAGTAGTGTGTTGCTCCAGAAGGTAAGATTGTGTCACCCAAGCATCTCACCTAAGTATCCTACACATTTTCAGTGGGATTTATATCAGAGAAGCATGCTGGCCAATTCATTTTGTTTCTCTAGAAGATAAAACTGTGCCACCAAGCATCTCCACAACGTACACCACACATGTTCAGTTGGATTTAAAGCAGGGAGGCATGCTGGCCAATGCATTCTGTGGACATATTCACTTTCCAGGAACAGCATGTGCCCAGTGGGGCTGTGCATTGTCCTCCATAAAAACATAACCAATGATATCCCATAAAAGACACATGTGGGAAAAGATAACTTCAAGGTAGGACAACCTCTGGCAAGTGATTCCATGTCAAAAATGTGCAGCTTTGTCGAGCCATTAATCATAATGCCTCCCCATACAAGCACACCAAGACCACCCAAATGGTCTCTTTCCCTGATGCTAGTGGACGAAAACATGTTCCTACTTCTTTGCATATCAATTGGGGCTGAAAATTGTTTGTCAGACTGAAATGAACCTCATTGGTAAAGACAATGTGACTCCATTGCTGAGGTTTCCAGTTTTTGTTTTCTCTATGCTTCTGCAGATGGTGCCACTGATGGGCCACTGTCAACGGTATGCAGCATTCAGGATGGTAGGCCACCTTTATGAAGCTGTCTGGTCACAGTAAAACAGGAAACTTTGGGCAGACATGCATGATTACATACAACTTTTAAAGTACTTCCTTGTAAAAATCTTCATTAACTGTCTGTCCAGGTGGCATGAACTCTTTGTAGACTATCCCCTTGGTGTCAAAGAAGGCAATGAGCATAGACTTTCAATTTTGATAGGCTCACTTGAGCCTTTTTTTGATGAGGCAATTGGGGGTGCTTGCCACTCTGCACTCTCACTGTTCCAGGATCATAGTGAAAAACCCATGTTTTATCACCGGTAATCACTCTTCAAAAAAATTAAGGTCACTTGTTAGACACTCCAATAATTCACATGCAATCAGCACATGGTTTTCTTTCTGCCCATTGGTCAAAATCCTTGGAACCAGCTCAGCATAATCTTCTGCATTTGAATTTTTTCCCTGATGATTTGATGCACAACCGATTTTGTAAGTCCTAACATCTTCGTGATCATTCAGATACCTATCCAACAATTAAAGCTAAAAAATGTTTTAATTTTAGCCACATTGTCTGAAGTTTGAGGACTTGATGGACGTTCAGTACATTGTTCATCCTCTCTACCGTCTTTGAAGGTTTTGTGCTTGTTCTTGAGCCTTGGACAAATAATTTTTCCCATATGCTTCTTGTAACATGGCAAGCATCTCAGTGGTCAATTTATTTGGTTTTACACAAAACTTTATGGAGTATTGCTGCTCAACACTCCGCTGCATTCAGAAAACCTAAACCTTCAAATGCGTGTCTGCTTCATGAGTGATCTGGGTGCTGCAACGACTCAAGGACGACTATCTTCCACCAGACTCTGAAGCTGACAGCCCTCCCATGCCACCCGCAAACTCAGCACTCTTGGCCTTCTACTTGGCATGAAAAATTCAGTCTCATTACTTTCTGGACAGACCCTATCATATATTTTTATTTATTTTTCATATTCTGCATTTTTATTGGCATTTTTAATTACTGTTTCTTTCTCTCGGCTATTAAGCCTTCTATTTATTATTACTATTGTTACAATTTATTTTTTAAATTAAGCCCTAAAAAAAAAAGGCATTAAAATTTTGCAAATTACTAAGTTTGTTGTGAGACCAATGGAGATCTCCTATTGAATGAAAACCATATCATCTGCTTTTGACTGCTTTGAATGATAACTCAGAATAATTTAGATAAAAAAATCACCCTGGGTAGATGAAATGCTGTCAAGTGACAAGTCTGTGAGGGGAAGTTTACTGAGTCACTGAGCAACTCGTCTCCTTGTGTAGATGAGCTTTTAAAGATAAGAGAATACACACTCTTACATTTAAAATGAGTTCCAGAAAATGACAAAGCCTAATGTTTGCGAGAAAAAATTTCTATGATATTATTTCTTGTAAATTAATACCATACGAAGAACTAGTACCTTATTTACCAAAGAAGACTTCATTATTCAAGATATAGCTGTAGATTTATTTCACTGAATCACTTGCAACTTGGAAAAAAATATTTTCCATAAGTGACAAACTTTTTATTTTACTAAGAGGCCAAATACCTCTTTGATGTGTTAAGAAGAAAACAAAAGAAAAACCACTTATTGTTGTATTTCTTAGAAGTAGAATTTATTTTTTCAAACTTAAGTTTAAAAAAATACTTAGACCCTACCTAAAAATTTAAAACTACAAATACATTTCATATTAAATATCAGTGGGGATATACAAAAAATGAAAAGTACTTATCCTCACATTTTGAATTAATTCAGACACGTCTTTCTTCTTTAGAATTCGATCTAATAACACTGTGCTAGGCCTGAAATTAAATATATATATATATATATATAAAATGAATATTTACTGCTGCTAATAAGTATATATATTTACATATTATACATACCTACTATAAATTTTCTAACATACAGGTTATACTACCTAAAATTTAAATTTCATGTTTAATATCTATCAAATATTAATACTTACATTTGTAGAAAAGTCTTTAAAATTAATATCTGTATCTCAGGAGTAGAATTTTTCTTTGCATAATCACATAAAAATGCAGCCTGTTAAAGAAATATAAAATTTTTTCATATTTTCTTAAAAATGCGATGCACATAAGCATAAAATTTAAATAATCCTATCACAAAAAGTAATATATTGATACAAAAGATCTCGTTTTTCAGTTGCAAAAAAGGTTGTTTAGCTTTACATCACATTAAGATAAGTTTAAGCTTCAAAATTCTATCAGCTTTTACAAATATATTCCAGCACATTGAGAAACAGCATTAGGGAACTAACAAGCTTCCTTTGTTATAACTGATTATGCCATTGATGAACTGGGGTACTATGACAGAAATATCCAATAGACATATATCACTTTAAAACACTGCTTACATGAAAACAGCAAAGCTTAACAAGTTCAAGTAGTCTCCATCCACTTATGGTGTCACTCTGCCAATGACTAGATACTTTGACAGAACAAAAATCCAAAGTCAATCTTGTAAAGAAATTGCATATTGACAGCAAATTGTTCATGGCTATTGCAGCTTGGCATTGAGGCATGCACCAAATTTGTTTATCTCTTTGGACACCAGAAGACAAGTTAATGGTGCTGTCATGTAATGCAGCACTACAGAAGTGTCCTAAAAAGTCTTATCATGAGATAAGAAGACATGACTGATCACACCAATAGACCACCAAACAAGCAGTAACAGCTTGTTTGTAAATGGAGGAGTGGTTTGTTTTTCAGAGTCTACCCAATATACTGATCACTTATGACTGTTGCATCATATCAATTTTTATCAGATGTGACAATCCAATGTAGAATTCCTTCTTGGGTTATTCCTCAAGACTAAGCAAATCGAACACTTCCAAAGAGAATGCCTTGTTCAGTGCCAACTCATGTAATAACCACTTGCTCAACTTTTCCACTTTACTGATAGTGTGGCAACACAAAACAATAGCCAATATGATGCATTCAAGCTTGTCTGCAGTTCACAGAATCAATTTTGATGATACTCTTCAGAAGCTCATATGAAACTGTAATCAACTGGCAACCACACAGATGATTTTCCAATGTTTTATTGACATCCAAAATTTTACTTATGTATATTGAGTTTATTAACCACACCTGTGCCAAATAAAATAATGTTGATGTTTTGCACCACCAAGTTGTGCAGAATGTTCCAATTTAAACTTATAGTAGAAAAAGCACAGCTATGGATTCTCGATGGTTCACTTCAGTGATACCTCTTGAAACAGCAGTACATCTACTGATAATCTTGTAGCCCAGCCTGTCACACAGGCTTGTAGTAATGCTTGATGTAGCACATAAGACTTCAGAACACCAATCCTGAGTCAAATGGCTGGTTCCCATTATATCTGCAATCAGACATTTAAATCTCTCTAACTCAATATTTCCTTCAATAGCTAAATAAAATATAATAAATTAAAAATATTAGAGAAAGCATAACAATTATATATCTCCACATTGTTGGAAATAAAACACATATAATAAAGTGCAGCAATCTTAGCATTAAGCACAAATTATTTTTTTAGCAATTTTTAAATTGCATACTTAATATCAAATACATTCAACAGTCATGAATAATACTATTAATAGCACAATCTGAGGGCTTTATTTTATGGGTCTTAAAATCAATACTTTTTAATGTATCAGTTTGATATTTTTAAATATTTAAATCTTCCTACAAAATAAGTCTTCATTAAATTCTTCAAGTACTTTACATAAACTTATGTAAATTTACTACAATCATGCTGATAATAGTAAATTTTGATAATGATTAACTGCATTTTATGCTTTCATTAATTTCTTTAAGGCTTGAAATTTTCTGTAAATTTCTTGAAGCAATTTAATAAAATGATTACAATAACAACATTTCATGCTTTATTGAGACTTTAACAACTATCAATATTTTACATCATTAAAGATAGACGCATACACTCAGCAAACTTTATTTAGCTGATTACACTCAAAACAATTTTTTTTTTCCTTAACGTACAAAATCTTTTCAAACTCCAGATTAAATCATGCTCACTTGCATAATTAACAAAATTTAGATGGCATACAACTATAAATATGTTATACCTTTAGAGATAGATGCATACACTCAGCAAACTTTAATTAGTTAATTACAGTCCCCCCCCCCCAATTTTTTTTTTTTTAAATATAAAATCTTTTTTAAACTCCATGTTAGATCATGCTCACTTGCATAATTAACAAAATTTACATGGCATATTCATGCATTATAGTAAAAATAAATAATTTCACAAAAAGGTAGTAAGCTAATCACTACATAGTATAAAACAAAGTCGCTTTCTCTGTCCCTATATCCCTATGTATGCTTAAATCTTTAAAACTATGCAACGGATTTTGATGCGTTTTTTTTTTTTTTTAATAGATAGAGTGACTGAAGAGGAAGGTTTATATGTATAATAACATCCATTAAATAGTGGAGAAATACTGTTATTTTTTAGGTTTCTAATGTGATGTCGTAAATAATTACATTTTTTCTGCTTACATTGCAAATGCAGGCTGAACCCTAAGAGATTTATCAAAATAATATACTAAGTATTGTACACATTGAAAAGGTCTACAGATTTAAAAATTGCGGGACGTAGCGTTTGCGGCGGTACCGGCCGGCCGGGGAGGCGGGAGCGTGCCTATAAATAGCGCGTCGGAGGCCGCGGTTCTCTCTCTATAGCACTTTGAATTTAGCAGCGATCGGACGCGTTTATTATCGGAGCACTCTAGCGAGGAAAACAACAATATACTTAATAAATACGTGTTTTTCAGCGCGACAACGTATCAGTTATTTACTTCATAATAACGACAACGTATCAGTTATTATGAAGTTACGATAAATAATTGTATGGTAGTAGTTTTAAAATATAAATGATATTCTATTCTAAGGTAGATGAATTTTTAAATCGCACTTATAGTAATTATAAGTACATAAGGTTAGATAAGATTAGATTAAATAAAACCATAATTTATGGCTTGGAATTTTCTATTAAGATCTTAGTTAAAATTTAGATATAAACCAATTTAATGTCGGAGAAATTATTTTCAAATTTATTTATTCAAATTTTTATATTTAGGGAAATTATTTTCAAAAATCGTAACTTTAAGGTGAGGTATATAAGTTCAGAAAAAGATTATGAACTGCGATTCATTGTTAAAATATCCATTAATATTTTATACCCGTGCGAAGCCGGAGTGGGTCGCTAGTATGATTATAATTCTTTCTTTATCACAGCTCTGAAGATAATGCTATCAAGTTAAACTATAAATATACACATCACGACTTTTCCATGAATCATTCTCAAAAAGAATCTTTCTAAAAAATTCTAGTGTTAAAATTTAGATAACTTTCTAAGGTACTTTAAAGCCTAATTTTTCTAAGCTCAAACAAAATAATTATCTCTCTGTGGAAATCAACCTTTCAATTCCCATGGGTAGGGGTCATCTAGGATATTTAATTATCATAGTTACTGAGGTAAGTTATATGTCAAACATTATTCGCTTTAACATTTAAGGCATCCTTTAAAAAAAGAAAATACAAAGCCCACATCAAATGTGTAGCAATGGTAGTTTTATTAACCTATTCTATTCCAGAGTCTCTTCTGTTTCCTTTTGTTTACACATGAGCTATTGTAATGACAATGAAAGTATATTACCAAATGAATTTTTTTCCACAGAAATTCCTTTCCTTATCTAAAAACAATCAATTTATTCAAAATCAGTGCTTATTTAAGGTTGCTGCTTTAAGATTTCGATTCAAACCAGATGTTATGATTGAATAAAATTAAATTTTAACAAATACCTGAACTGTTGTTAAAAAAATAAAGAGAGTTAGAATAAGTGCAAATTCTAAAAATACATAAATGAGTTTAAGCTTTCTTACCATCTTCTCAGCTGCAGGATTCAACACATGTTTTGGATGCATGTAAACATTCATAAACTTTAAAGAAAATTTAGGAGCTAAAACACATTTAATCTAAAAAGAAAATAATTAATATTTCTAGTTAATACTGTAATTTCAGAATTAAAATATAATACATAATATGTCAAAATTCAGTTTTTAAGCTTACCACTTTCTTTTTTTCAGTTGTTTGCAGCATTTTTTTTATCATTTCAAACCCAACATAAACCCTCTGTTCATGGTGAGCAATATCAAATAAATTTTCTAAAAGTAGAAGCCAAGACAAGTTTTAAAACAAATTTGTCCTTTATCATATTTCAATATTTATGTCTGAAAAGGATATCATAAAAATTTAACACAAAGAGTTCACATACCATCAACAACTGGAATCCAAATTTCTTTAATATCCTTTCTTTCCTTAACCAATGCTAAAAATTCTAAGCAATACGGATGTAATTGTGGAAGCAAAGCACCAGTTTGCTAAAAATAAATGAATAAATAAATAAAATTTCATACACAGTGAACAACTGAATTAAGAATTTCCTTGTATTTTTTGGTAAAAAAAAAAAAAAAAAAAAGTGAAGATTTTAAAAGTGGAATTATGCTACCTCGATTTCGAAAAGGCATTTGACAGAGTGTGGTATGCAGGCCTCCTGCATAAATTGAATAATTTTATGCTTCCAAACGGTTTCATAAAACTCATTAGTTCCTATCTGAAAAACAGGACTTTTCAAGTTCGCTGCGGTGACGCCTTATCTGTCAGAAAAACAATTCATAGCAGGGTCCAGCAAGGGGTCCGTTCTTTCCCCCGTCTCTATAATGTTTATATCAATGATCTCCCACACCCATTCAACATGAAAATACTCAAATATGCTGACGACACTGTAGTACTGACTGAATCCAGAAATCCCTCAGCTTGCTCTAAGTAATTTACAAATGCATCTCAGTATCATCAATCAATGGTGCAAGACTTGGAAAACTAAGCTCAATGCCTCTAAATATTGTTTTGTGCTCTATCGGAGATAGAAAACAAGATTAAGAGTCAACACTGATATCTACTTAGATAGAACTCTAATCCCTGTAAATAATTCCTATAAATATTTAGGTGTTTACATAGATAAGTCTCTCAACTTCAAAGATCATATTTCTTACATCTTAAACAAAGCAAATGCAGCCTACATGGCAATTTATCCTATTAATGGCAAAAAATAAAGAAAATGCTTTACATATCTCTAATTCGACCGATCATGCTATATGCAGTGTCGGCCTGGGCAATTACCAATAAAACTAAGCGCAAAAAACTGGATATACTTCAAAATAAAATTCTATGTAGCATTGTGAATGCACCTTGGTACGTGAGAAACTCTATAATTCATAACGACCTGAATATTCCATCTGTGCATAACTTTATACTCATGATAGCTCACAACTTCTTTCTTCGAGAAGATGAAGTATAGTCACTGTATAACGCAATTAAACAAACGTGTTGGATTATGATCCAATATTTGTAATATCCAACCATTGAATATACTGTCAAACGCCCAAGGACAATTCATCATGGTGGTAACTTGTAAATTTTAATTTTAAAATTTACTTGAACTCTGAATGTTTTTCGCACTGACCACACGTCATGAACTTTGCTTAATTTCCTCCGCTAGAGAAATTGGACGCTATCCCATTATTTGTGTTGCATCTTATACTTATGTTAATCAAGAAACTTTTCTTTTATTCAAGTTTTTTATGTTACTATTTCATTTTTTAATTATTTTGTATGAATTTTTACTATATCATATGATTCTACGAACTTTTGAACTTTTTACGGCCTATCTAGCTACTGCATACTTCTGAAGGACTTTGAACTCTTATGCCATTCACAGCTTCAAACTGTCTTCGCGATATTTTCATGATGCCTCACTACTGCTTATCCTGCACTCTTACTAGTTATATTGCACTCACTGCATTTGCCATATAACTCACTGCACCTGCCTGCATGCTTCAATTTAATGCCATTGCTTATTACTGGACAATTTTTATGATGAATACCTACTTTTGTAAGTATTAAGATGTGCCTGCTCACGCAGCTGAATTTTCTTCGCCCACGGGTGTTGGTACTTCTTTAGTACCATTTATTTGGAAATATCTTTGCCTAGTGCACTTTAATGTGATCTACTGGCGAAAACTCTTTAGCAGTTAAAGACCAGAAAAAGTAAGTCATAAGTCATAAAAGTGGAATTCTTTTAGGTTGAGTTTTAAATTTATTTAACATTAAAGGCTTAGTTTTAAGGGTTGAAAACATTAAGGATTATTATCATTATTATTTAAGATGGGAAGCAAAATATTTGTATGTTAAGATAGTCTTTCTAGATCAGGTGTGTTTCCCCCCCCCCTTCCCGTAGAGGATGAGAATTGTAAACCAAAATATTAAATTTGGAACTACGTTTCAATATTGGAAGATAATAGCTGAATAAAAAATAAGTTTAAATAAGAATTAAAAAAATTATGATAATTTACTAATTAATACTAAAACATTTCATGCTTTAATACATTGCTTTTTCAAACAATTTAAAATAAATCAAACATTACATGTTGAATACACAAAACAATACAACAACTAAGAATTACATGAAGAAATATAAAATAATAAATCTGTAATTACAAAAACTAATATTAAAAAAAGTACATAAAAGTATGTTCTACAAGTGAGACATAGTCCATTATATATTATATTCATTATTAATGTGAAATATAATGAAATATTATATTAAGACTTGTGAAATATTAAAATAAAATAGTTTGCAATGACAAAGCACAAGCAGTGTTCATAAAATATATATTTTTTTTTTTACACAATGTTTAAGATTAGAAAACTAAAATAAGAAGACATATTAATAAATTAATAACTAACTTACTCTCATCATATTCTTATGATGCTCTAAATTTTCAGGGGAGAACACATCACAGTTTCCCCAATGCTTTGTTAAATATCTTTCAATTATTTCCTACATGAAAAGACAAGTTATTATTGAAAATAAAATGCAAAAAATAAATTAAACATAAGTTGTTTTTTAAAAAAATGCCCACTAAGAATTTCACGAGCTGCTAATTATTTCGGTACTTGTTGATTTTTGGAGCAAATGCAAAAAAACAAAGCAAACACTCATTTCTTCATAGGTTCCCCTTGCCTTTTGTGTTTGTTTATTAGGTTTAATTGTCCCTTACAGTGACATTCCATCTGCTTTCTAAAATTTATATTTCATCCAGAAACATGTTAACTATTTTCAGTTCACCATCAAGTGAAAAACAGGCTTTTCTATTCTTCTCCCCCCCCCAAAAAAAAATTACATACTAGCCTGTGTAAGGACAATCATGAAATAAAATATTTCGATGTAATTATCAAGAAAAGCATCATGAAGGGAATTGGTTACGTGGATCAAAAATCACTTGTTGCACTACATCAAGTTTTACCTTGTTGATCAGAAAAATGACATCAATCAGGAGATCTGAAAAACAGTAATTAAAACCCAGTATAGCAAACTTAGTTTATAATGAACAATTTTTTGGTCATGTGCAGTTTCCTTCAGATTAAAATTAATATTGTTTTATATGGCTATAGCAAGCTTTCAGATATAACAAACTTTATGGATATCTTTCGCTAAATGTTTTTTGCAATTTTCATAATTTTATCCAGAACTTCGGTAAATTTTGATTGAAAAATTACTATCTCTTAAAATTATCCATTTTAGGATGATAGGTTCCCATCCATTCATTAAAAAACTATCAACTTTTTTTTTCCCCCAGCATTTGCTACAATATCTACCAGGTGCGTCATAAATTCGTGCAAAGTTCAAAAATTCATAATAAAGGAAGGAATGCACGGAAAAATTTTCTGTTTTTCTGTTTGTGTAAATATGGTCAGAAAGACATTGGGTTTTTTTTCTATGTTAAAAAAAATATTTCCAAAAGTAACTGACAGAGGGCACTCACATGTCACACTGAGAGGTTTTATTTAAATCACGCAAACAGAAACAGACAATCAAACAATAACATGATACTATGCATTTATTTTATAGTAACAGATGTTCAACATTACCACCACCACAAGGTAATAAGAAAGTGAGGCGCGTCACTACGCCTATTACAGCAGAGCGTAGCATGTCGACATCCATGGCAGCGACGGTCAGTCGAAAGGCATTTTTCAGTTCCACCAGTGTGGTTGGGGAGCCCCGGTGCATGCGAGACTTTAAGTTTCCCCTAAATCAAAAATCTAACACGGTCAAGTCTGGTGACCTTGAGGGCCACTGAATCTTACAACCACGACTTATCACTTGGTCTTCAGTGAAAGATTCCAACAGGAACATCTTGATGTTGTGTGCAATATGGGTTAGGAAACCATGCTGCATAAAGTGACAACAGGTAATGCATGTCTTTCCTGCAATGCAGGCACAATGTAGTCACGCAAAAGTGTAAGATACCTTGCTGCAGTGACTGTACAGGTTTTCCCGTCTGATACAGGACAGGGTCCTTCAAAAAAGAAAGGGCCAGAATAAAAGATGCAGTGAAACCACACCAAATAGTAACATGAGGAGAATGCAGTGGCTGGCTCTGGTGCTCATGAGGGTTTGACGTCGCCCGAATACAACTGTTTTGCATATTAACATCACTGTACAGTGAAAGGTGGGCTTCATCCATCCACATGACATTCAGCAATCATTGAGGGTTACGTTCCCTTTGTGCCAGAGCCCATGTAGCAGACTTGTCTTGCATCTGTATCTGCCAGTAATAACTGGTGAAGTCACTGGATTTTGTACAGATACAGATCCAACATTCCGTGCAGAATACGTCGAATCGATTCTTCTGGAATCCCCATTCTTCTCTCAGCTTTACGAGCACTGCTCATCCCCGTTGATGTTTCAGCTGCCATATCTTTCATGACACTTTGTACCATATAGACACGGTCCACTCTCAAAGGTGGTCTGCCACTTTGTTGATGGTCTTCCAAACTCCCCGTTTCCTTAAAATGTCCTACTAAATTCCGTATCCCATTCAATGAAATAGGGCTTTTTTGCACCTTCAGTCCTTTCTTCGTGTCAAACTTTTGCAATGTAACAGTTGTGGATTCACCATTTCTTGTAGAACAATTTAACCACCAACGCCAGATCTGGCAAAGAAAGCATGCTGCCAGCTTCAAATGACGGATCTATTTTATTAATAGCCTGATTTGCATAAAACATCTCAGTATGACGGGTGAGCGCACTCTGTTGGTTACTTTTGAAAACCTTTCTTTTTTCTACATGGAAAAAAATCCAATATTTTTTTACCATAGTGCCAAAAACAGAAAATGTTTCCATGCATTTCATCTTTTATTACAAATTTTTGAACTTTGCACAAATTTATGACGCACCTGGTATGTAAGGAAACAAAGTTTCTCCTCTGTGCATCACTATCAAGAACATAGAGAGATCATCATCGAAAAATCTTGATCATGATATTGCATGTAGCTCTTTTTATTACATACTTAAGATATAAAAGTTCTGTTCACAGAAAAAGGCCCAAATATTTCACAGAAATAAAAAGATTAAAAAAAAATTATGGTTATTTACAGGGTTCGTACACATTTCCTTACATGAAAATTAAGGACTTTTAAGGACCATCAAAGAAAAAATTAAGGACCTATCAGCAAACAAAAAAAAAAAAAAAAAAAAACAAATAGAATAAAGCAAATATCCATACAACCGACTTCATGCTTGTAATTTCACTTTAAGAAACTAACAGAAGTGTGTATTATGCACTATTATTAAATTCACTTTAATACTTACCATAAAACGATTTTGAAAATTAAACTAACTCCCTATGAAGTAGATAACATTAAGTTATGAAGTAGATAACATTAAATTAGGAACATAATTTCTTTAAAAACATGTATAAGTGTATTTTACATTAATAACAGTCACTATTTTAGAGATTTACATGATTATTATTTAACTTATTTGATATTTATTTAAACACAGTCAACTACTATTATAATCATAATGCAAGAATATTTTGCAGATTAAAATAACTGATTTGTAAACATACAATTTATTTCCTTGGTTTTTTGAAAGATACTAGAATAATAAACTGTAACAATAAAAGATACAAAACATTTGTGCTTTTTTTAAATCTGAAATCTTTTCAGCTATTTTAACATCTAATTTATTTATGTCTATTTCCTTTTCTTTAACTATTCTTCTAAGTTCATTTGCTTTGATAAACAAATCAATGTTCATGCTGGTCTCAACTTCATCTGCTAAAGCATCTACTTCTTTATTAAGATCTTTAATGTCCCTTTGAAGAAATTTTTTTCTTCTGCTTCATATAATCAATTTCTTCCTCAATGATATTTCTTTTCCTCTTTGAATTTTCAGATTTAGTTAAAGATTTTTGTTCTTCTAAATATTGCATATATTTAGACCTTGCAGAAGCTGCTGCTGATCTCCTTTCTTTATTAATTTCAATATTAAGAACATCTCCAGAAAATTTTATGTAATCAAATACTGTGCGTTGAAAAATGTATGATGAGTCACTTAAATTTTCAATTTCAATTGCTTTATTTACAGAGAAGCCCCTTTCCACAGAGGCCTGTCCATGTGACAAGATAAGAATCATTTTCACTATTTTCCATACTTTTGAATAGTGCAAATCATGAAAATAAGAAGTGAGAAATGTATCAAGAGAAAGATTTTTAGGATCAAAAGTAGAAATTCATGTAAATTTGTCTTAACTACTTTGTCTAGAAACTCTCCAAACTGCAGCAGAATTTTCATCCCAATCATCTTGTAAAACATGTTTATTCTGCATTAATACCGTTAGAACTATTTTCATTTTGTTTCTGGGCTTTTTCTGGACTTTTAAATCATCAATCGCGGGTTTATACAAGATGCATTTCGAATAAGAGAATAATTTATTGGACATTTAGACATTAAGTGTTGTTACTATTGTTAAGACACATTGTTGACCTTCTTGTTTCAATGCAAAACTTTCAGCTTGTGAAATGTCCTTCTTGCGGCATTTATCATTCATTAACTGCTCAGCAATGAATCCCAAATAAACTTTACTTTTATCATTATAACAATTTGGATCATTAAAATTAAATTTATAAAGATTTTCTGCTTTAGTTATTTTTGAATATTCTAGTTTCAAAATTTTAAAGTGCTGAAGGCAATCATTTACAAGTTTTAAGATATCTTCAGCAAAAAAAGGGAATAAGTGGTTTATCACTTTGATAATATTCAAGGAAAGGCAATAATATTTTCGACAGAGAGAGAAAAAAATTAAATTTTATAAGAAATGTTTTATCTTTAGTTGCCTCCAAAATATTTGAGAAGGATTTCGATGAATTTTTTTTTAACTTCCCCATTTCAACTTCTTTAATGTACAGTAACAAGTCATACCATATTTCAATGGCTCTTTCAACTGCTGGGACATTTTGCAACCATCGGTAAAAGCAGAACTTCACAGGTAGCTTTTTTAAGCCAGATATAACTTAAAAAATTTTCATGTCTTGCAGGAGAATCTTTAAAAATCCAATATAAGGAGGATAAGAATGATGGAATGTCCCAGCCAGTGGATGACATCCTATGCTTTAAAGCATTGTTAAGAATGTGTACACCCATGTCCCTAATGTCAAGCATTGAATGTTATATTCCTTTGTCAAGTCCTGTTGCAATAAATCATAAAACTTCCAGTTTACTGCAGGACCATCCATCGATATTTGTAAGAGTTTTGAAAAGTCTACTTTTTCAACACATTCATAAAATTTGGATAAAATAATTTCACTTGTTGCATGCCCTATAAATGCAGAAGTAAGGTACTGAGTTCGGACCTTATTTTCGTGATGCCAGTACCTCACATAAATATCTAGTTGCTTCTTTTGATTTGGCAGATTAAGAGTCTCATCAAATAGTAATGTAAAAAACACAGCATTTTTTACAATGCTTTAGTAACAAAGTTTTAAAATAAG